CCTCCTGGTCCTTTGGCCTCTTGTGGGCCACTGTTAATTAAGAAGCTGCTATCTAGCATGTTTTTCTGGCCTATCTCCTCTGTGCAAACTCCCTACTTAGAGAAATGATCACTCGGTTGCTGGATTACAGTAAGTCATTTGATTGTATTTATTTATATTGCTTATGCTGTGAGCCCAACTGTCGAAAGATTATTAACTTTTGTTCATTAGGGTTATGTGTATGAACAGTTTGCACAGACAGCGCGGAAAAAACTGGTCTCCTCTCAAAATCCTTCCACATGTCCCTTTGCGTTTAAAAAAATAAATGGTAGGAGAGCTCCTTAAATGAATAGTCAATATTCACTCTAATTCATTTAAGATCCACAACTGTTAAAGTGGCACATGGTCTTAAAAGCTGAAATGCATGGTATGATTAATAAAAATCTTTTCTTCAAAGTGATTACTCACCGTCATTGCTAGCTGTGGTTTTGAATGGTGAAGCTAGGAGAACATCCAAAATGTTCACATTAAACCCGAATCAAAATAAAAAACTAGTAGATCCTGCAGCTGATACAGCAGAGGTGAAGGATCAGGCCTCTTTCCTTTTATGGCTGTTGATGAGCAACTTTGGATTCCTCCCACAACATGTTTCATCCATTACATTTCTATAGAGCATTTCTAGCTCAGAATAAGAGAGCAAACAGGACCTGATTTAAAGTTCACTTAAGTCACCGTGGGAGTCTTTCCATTAACTTCAACGGGATTTGCATCAGTAAAAGTGCTGCGTAATCCCACTGATCACTGCTTTGAAACCAAACAGTGAGGAAAAGGTGATGGTTGCAAAAAGGAGACAGAATTTCTTTTACCTAAGAGCATAATCAGCCGCACCTATGTGGAACCACATTGACTCCAGTGGAGTGCAGATCTGATTGAAGGATTTGTGTCGCAGAGAGTAGAAATGCACAGACTGTAAACCAGTGGTGGGCAACCTGCGGCCCGTCACCATAATCCGCTGGTGGGCCGCGAGACAGTTTGTTTACATTGGCATAGCCGCCGGCAGCTCCCAGTGGCTGCAGTTTGCCCTTCCCAGCCAATGGGAGCTGCGGGAAGTGGCGGCCAGCACATCCCTGCGGCCTGCACCGCTTCCTGCAGCTCCCATTGGCCGGGAAGGGCAAACCGCAGACACTGGGAGCTGCCGGCGGCTATGCCGATGGAAACAAACTCTCTCACAGCGCACCAGTGGATTACCCTGACGGGCCGCAGGTTGCCCATCACCGCGAGCTCTCTGGGGCAAGGCCCATCTTTTTGTTCTGGGTTTATGTAGTGCCTAGTACAACGGGATCCATGACTAGGGTTCCTAGGTGCTTCCACAGTACAAATAATAAATAACATTGCCATCCAAATTCTGTCTCTTGTATACCAGGCCCAACAGCAAGCAATATGAATTTCAAATCTACTTGCAGGTGCTGGGAGCTAGTAAGAATACGTAGCTAAAATTAATGAATATATTTGCAAAAATATGGTTTCCATTATAAATCCAGAAGCGAATTTTATCTCGGTTTGCAATGTACCTTTTTTTTTTTAAACTATTCTAGTTTGGATGTGCACCTTTTGTAGCTTTTATAACTGGTTCTAGTTTGCAGTAGCTTCTCGAACAGGTCGCTCACAAAAGATCTCGGTGTGTGATCCAAATATATTTACATTAGCTAACAAATTCTGCATGTACTGATAAAATACAAAAGACGGGTAGTGATGGATATTAGATCAGCATTGCATGTTTTATGTTTGACAGGTTTTATAAATAAAGACATGCCAGCTCAGTCTCCAGTTTTGGCCGACACCTAAGACTGAACCAAGGATCTTCCAGAGCTAATAGCAGGAGTTCCTACAGCTTGAGTTAAAGAGCCAGGCTCTGCATCTAGGGGCTGCCACAGACTCACACGGTCCATGGGATGGGACCAGAGGGAATTGCGTAACGCACAATTACAGTGAATTACAAAGATAATGGGTCAAATTCATCCCGTTCATTCATAAATTCCAACAGAGTAACTAGTGATGGTTTCACAGAGTGAGAAGTTACAAGTATGCATGCAAATACAGTAGAATAACATACATGGGCCAGATACTGTTGGTTCTACCAGGGTAACTGCATTAACTTGAGTGGTGTTGACACCAGTATTACAGAGCTCAGAATGTGGCCCTGTATTCCCACTTCAAGATCTACTGATGAAAAATGCTACATACAAGGTAGGAATTATGTATTTATTTATCATTATTAATAATCATCATTTCCAGAATGCATTTTAAATGTATATGTCAAAGGAAATTACGCAAACGGTATTTTGTGTGAATCTTAATTAATAAAATTCTTTAACTGGCTTACTTAGTGAGCACTCTCTGAAAACTACCTAAAAAAGAGAAAGAAAAAAGAAAAAAAGACAGCAGGCACAAAATGTAAGACTATGCTCTCAAGAGAAACTGAAAAAATACACTGTGTTAAAAGAAGAGATATATACATTTTTACACAAGAATTTGTTCCCAATTTGCACTGCAGGCTAATGAAAAAATAAAAGCCAAATATAGCAAAAATAGTCAAAATTTACAAATTTGGATTAAACTTTTCCATCAACATTTCAACATATAAAGGGATGAAATTTTCCTGAAAATTCTAACCCATTGTTGTTAGAAACCTCCAGGTTTTATAATGAAAATGCAGTTTTGTAACTAAACAAGACACAAAAAATTATACTATCCTTTATGGTACGATGGCAAAGAGATACATTCTCTGACTACAGCCTTCTTGCCTGTCAGATTCTATCTTCTACTCCTTATATTCCACTTTCTATCATCAGCTTGGAAGTAGACATCACAGTAGACGAGATGCTCTGTAAGGGCCAGATCCAGCATCAATTGAAGCCAGTGGAAATACTTGATTTGACTTCAAAGACCTTGGATCAGCTATGTTTAGCAGTGGCAGAATGATCAGTATCAGTGAAGCTTAGCAGTGAATGAAATCACAACGCACCCTGTCCATGTGTGTAAATGTGAAAGTTGTTACTGGGGCTTTGCTAAAAGGAGGTTCTTCCCATTCTAGGTCAGAGGAAAAGAGAAAGGCAGGCTGGGAAATGGAATTTCCCTCTCAAAGAAAGTTCTGGTTTTGGGAAGGGAGGGAGGAAATGAGAGGTGAATTGCCCGGAATCAAGATGAAGTAGTAAAATAAATTGTAGTTTTTCAAAGAATGAAAAATTCCGTTTCGGGAGAACGGGCTTGCACCAAGTTGCCAACCGGCTCTTGGGGCTACCTGATTCCGCAGGCAGACAGTTGCCTAGGTGGTTGGGCAGTGCCAGAAGGCAGCTGCCCGGGGGGATCAGGAAGCCAGGGGTACCTGGTCTGGCTGGCAGGAAACCAGGCTGAGAGGCAGCAAGCCTGGCTGGTGTTTCGTCAAACATTTTGATGGAATCTATGTTCCTGAGGAACGTCTAGATTCTGTGGAATCAGAATTGTCCAATGGAAAAGTGTTCCATTTTTTGACCAGCTCTAACACAGAGGCTTATTCTAAAGTTTAGGAGAAAAACAAAAAGCATGTTTTTCTCCTTTAAGGCTGGCTAGGTGTGGACTACCAAAACAGCATCAGCTTTCAATGAAAGAGAAATCATTTTTAGAACCCTACTTGTCTACAATAGCCAACGACGTGTTAATTAGCTTCATAATTACCATAAAATAACATATTCCATCATCACCTCATGGCAATTCATGGTAACAATCGTAATTTGCATTACCATTTCTGCTTTATCTCATGGAAACCACACAGTTAACTCATGTGATTACTGTTCTTCACACGCCTGCAAAAAATACATTTCAAATAGACAAAATTTATTTTGGGATGGTAATGGAAAAGGCTTATGGTGATGAGACAGCAGATGTTATGCTCAGAAAGAGAGGAAGATGGATTATTACAAATGTTGGTATGAAAGTGTAAGAAGGGATCTTCTTTGCATGGGAGGATTATAATCAAGGAAAGAGTGGTATAATAATTTTTGTAATATATTTGTCTTTGAAAATGGAACATAATCATCCAACTGTCTCAGAAATGTTATTAAGGATTACAAAGGGGGAAATATATATGCACAGAGTTACAATACAAACTGTATTTAACAGAATTTCTTCGAGAGGTTAACCAATATAATCCTTTGAAGATTACAGAACTGCCTTAAGTTATTTCCATAACTTCGAACCACATCAAAATTCTTCCATTAAAAAAATAAATACAGGATTGGGTTTCCTATAAAGCTTCCCCTACCATTAGTGATTTATTATCAGGGTTTTCAGTTAGGTAAATCAAAGGCGATATATAATCAAGTGAACGCAAATTAAAGAATCCCTACTCTTTTTTTTATGCTCAGGAAGACCTGTGAAAGTTTTGTGCAGAGCTGCAAGTGGTTTGTTTTTTAATGACGGTGAAAGGATATAACCCTGTAAATAAAGATGTGGAAGCATTTAGAATAAGCAAACAACTTGCAAAGGTAGCTTCAAAAAACATCTTCAGCTCTGCCTAATCCCTCCTCCAAAATCAATTTTTGATTTTTTTGTTACTATAAGACTACAGCCCATATTTCCAGACTGTCATCCTATTGGTGAGAGTCTCAGTTACCTGACTCCTGACCATTATGCCAAGGTTCGAGTTACATTTCCAGGCAGTAAATATGCAAAACATTCCTCCTATGATCTCAACCTTCCCATCTGCTTGCTTAATCCGGAAATTCGGCTACTAATACATCCCAAATATCTGCCTTGCTCGGTAGCCAATACCTGCCAACTTGTGGAGCTCATCAGGAGAGGAAGTTTGCAACATTAATACACCTGGGGCTATATGATTAGAGTGTCTGAGGACTCTAAAACTAATAGGTACAGCATTTGTGCAACCAAAGTCCCCTGGTGGCATCAGTACAGAATTTCAGTAGCTAGGACAGCTGGCTATAACCTCAAGAGGAGGAGGAAGAGGAGGAATTATTCATTCCTACCTGGTTCAGTGCAGTTCTTGATATATCGATTTTCTGTCTCCTCTGGGATCTCAGTGGCATTGTCCTCTGTTGCCTGCAGCAGCCTCCTCCCACTCCACTTATCGTAAGTTTCCACAGGATAGCTCAAGACATCATAACCTAGAGGAAAAGGGCACGAGATGAATGCTCTTGCTCTGAGGAGGATAAAGAGGCTAGTGCCTATATTCTCCTAAGGGTCTTTTCACAGTTCCTTGATACAGACACTATCTGCTACGCCTTCACGGAACCAAGGCCCTGCAGTCTAGCTAGCCTAGCCCCCCAGGACTAGTCTCAGATTTCCCAGTAGTTCAAGCACCCCTTTTCCAGAGCTCCATCTTGTGGTAACTCTGGGTTACAGTTTACATCTTCAGGGACACATAGTAGGTGTTGCAGATGGCTCACGCACAGGCTTTGCAAGGGTTTCTAAACACAATTACTCTGTATATAGCACAGAATACGTACAGAGACAGATAAAATAATAAAACACCTATACACATTTCCCGGCCTCCGTTTCCTCACCACTCTGGAGCATTCTTTGGGCTTAGGGGTGAAGTTCTCTGGGGTGGCCAAGAACCTTCTCCTATGGCTCATGATTTTTCCTCCAAATGATGGAGTCTCCCTCTCTGCTCCAGCTCAACTGCCTTTGACCTTGGCTGGTCCCGCAGTTAAACGAGACCCCTCTGCTATGAAAACATGCAGTTCTCTTCCTCTCTCTTGCACAAGCTTGCTTTGCACTTCTGAGTCCCTCTGAATGTATACGTCCTGCTACCACCACCACCTGGTTCCTTTGTTCTCCAGCTGGGGAAAAGCCACTGCTCCAACCAGCCCTTCTTGCAGACAAGCTTGATTGAACGGTCCAGAGACGCCCCAAATTGTCATGCATGAAGTGGGAGTTTACAATTGTGAAGGGAAAAGACGACAAATTGGCCACCAAAACTAATTGTAATTTATGCATAACGAACTTGAAAATACAACATTTCAGAACAGAACCCAGACTCCTATGAGTGCTTAAAGCATATCCGGCTGTTGGAAACGATCAAAACCAACCCTGTGTACCAAAACCAGCAATCATCTCCAATTGAATATTTTGGTCCCTCTGTCATTCACGTCTTTGCAGATGACAGGATGGTTTCATTTTCATGAATATTGTGAGTAACCTGGTGAAAGGTAACATTCTGTTATTAGGTTTCAGAGCGGTAGCCGTGTTAGTCTGTATCAGCAAAAAGAACGAGGAGTCCTTGTGGCACCTTAGAGACTAACCAATTTATTTGGGTTTTAGCCCACGAAAGCTTATGCTCAAATAAATTGGTTAGTCTCTAAGGTGCCACAACGACTCCTCGTTCTTTATTCAGTTATTACTTTTGTTTCCTATTTCCCCTCCCCTCTCACACACACACACACACACACACACACACACACACTTTCCCATCTTCTCTCTCTGCTTTGGCTTAGAGAAGATGCTGCTAAATGAAGCCCTACTTTAGCAATATCAACAAAAACACTTGGCCATTTTCCATAACATTCTTGGCATGACGCTGCTCAGGCCTGGACATTTCATGTTGGTCTAATTAGTGAGAGTGTATGCTCATATGTTAGCTACATCCATCCTACAGAGCTTAAAACAATATTTTCCCTCAAAGTTTGAAGACAGAGGGGTGCCCATTGTAATAAAAATAAAAAAATTAAGCACATCTCCTACTGAATCCTTGAGTCCAATGTAATAAGTAGCAAATGGAGTTTAGGCTGGATTTCCATCACATCTGTACATCTTTCTTTCATTAGAATCCAGCCTCTCTTTAACTCTTGTTTTGCTAGTTCAGCATTTTACATGTTATCCTAAAGATGCATATAATCGCAGCTGGTCTCTTGCCCCCATGGTGACAGCTGTTCAGAGTGCTGCAAAGCTCTGTCATTCTACCCATTAGAGAGGAGGTGAGGTTTCGTATCAACCAACTGAGGCTCTTCCAGACAACTAAGAAACTACGGCCTTGAATCTGGAAGAGAATTTCAGCGCATGGGAGGGTCAGCTCAGAGGTAGGGTCCTTGTACAGGACTGGGGACTACACTATGTTAGCTTCAAAAGGGAGCCTCACCCCATCCTTCTCAGACAGAAGGATGGAGGGTATTTGTAAAATGGCTGACTGGCACGCACGACCCCTTATAGCTGGGCACTGCAAGACCTTCTCCGTGGTCTTCACCAAATGCCATTCAAGCCTGCTGGTGGTCCACTTCTTATGACTTGGCCCTCCAGCCAGGTCCCGTTCCCTCTCACTCCTTCCCACTACATACCCACAGTCCAAACTAAATGCAAAGGAACATACACTCTTCCAGCCTTGCTAGGCCCAATCCTCAACACATTTTTCACTGCCCTCCCAGGCTCTGGAAAGCGCCTTGCTGCTCTCCTACAAAGTGCTGCCTCACAGGACTTTCCTCCCTTGACACCAGCTCCTCCCAACCAAGCTGCTGACCCTCAGGGTTTTTTCCCAGACCTGTTTCAATTCACTCCTGCGTCCCTTCTTCCTTCATGGCCCATCCCAGTTCCCTCCTGCAGCTCCTCTCAAGCTCCTCCTTGGTTTCAGTCTTAATTAAACCTGATACACCCTCCAGCTGCCATCATGGGCACTAATTCTGCTCTCTAGCTCCCCTTAACCCTTTTAGTACCAGTGCAGAGTTCATACAGCCCATCACAGTATGAGAGGGAGAGAGAACGTGAAAGACAGTGAGGGAAATACAGCAGGAGGGATCATCAAATCTTTGGCAGGGACTCAGGACACTGAGGATTAAAGAAAAGGAACAGCCCCTATATTTAGGTTGCCTGATATTTTCCACTATAAAAGATTTTGTGACCTTTTTTTGAGAAGCTCTAACATCTCCATGGTTTGCATCAAGCCTCTAAAATTCAGCAGGGAGAAATCACCGGGGTCAGAAAAGTGCCTTTTCTTTGTCCCAAGAAATTCCATTTTGTGTTAGTATGTATTATGACACCGTTTAATTATATGATCACATACTGCTTTTTCCACAGGACCCCGCCTCATTCAGTCCACAGAGGGGATACACACAAGGGGGCAGAATTAAAGTTTCACAAGCAATGTTAAATCTGCCATTTTGCCACTTCTGAGCACTTGACTTAGTAAATTAAACATCAGTATTTTAACTTAGCTTTTCTGCGTGTCAGAACGACAGGCATTCAACACACTTTATGCACTTCAAAATACACTGTTTCCTAATTGCTTTGTCTCTCAGTGACCTTCAATGAGTTAACTGTATAAATATGTCATGGATGGAGACAGATTTTAATCCCAAGGCATTAATTCAGATGAATTTTGTAACTTCATTTACAGCATCAGCCTTCATTTTTCATAATAAACATACTTCCACCAGCTGAGCTAAGCAGTCTGAGATCCACACAGCACTTGTTTTCAGAGCGAAGGGCTTTTTTCTGAGCAGTTACAGTTTCATTCTCCGGTGAAGGGAAAGAGAAAAAAACCCCATCCTCTTTCTAGGATTTTTATTCCCCTGAACGCCTGACAGATCTCTTCCTTCTCCTCACAATACAGAGCAGCTTTCTTGTTTCAGAATTTGGACCTATCCAAAAGGAAAACTAAACATAAGTCATTCAGAATGAGCTTGGGAAAAGCTCCATTTGGCAAGGACGTACAGTGAGTAAAAGGATTCCATTCTGCACTCACTTAAATGGGTGTGCGTAAGAGCAGAATTAGCTCCAGCTGAAATGGATGAAACTCTGTTGATGTACAACATTGAAGGATCTGGCTCAGAGACTCCAGCTTTAATTAGGTTAAACCATCTCAGAGCGGAGTTTGCAACCTATTGGCCAAATTCTGCCTTTGGATACTCCGGTGTAAAGAGAATTTGTCTCTCTAAATCAAGGGGAAATGAAAAGAAAAGGTGAAATGAAATCCTTTACTAAAAGTTTCGGCCCTTTAAGACCCTGGCCCAGGAACAGAATGCATGCCAAGATTTTAAAATTCCAGATAAATACATTTGATGATGTAATTTAAAAAAAACAACCACCGCACACCATTGCTGCTAAGGCCCAAAATTGGGGTTTCACATTTCCCCAGTGCATCCTGAAGTTGAGCGGGAAGCGGCTTGAAGCTAACCCTGCCTGAGGTGGTTGCAATGTCATCAGCTGTAGTGAAGAGAACACAGGAGCCTGGACTCAGTGTATGGGCAGATTATGTGAAAGTGGAACTGACTTAACTCAGGTTTAACCCTTGAGATGCATCAAACCTGATCAGTCTTCTGAGGTTTAGGGAGGTCAGCAGGGAGTGCTGTTCTAGGCAGGAGGGAGAGATCTGGGCAAGGAAGAAAGGGCAGGGTAGATCAGAGGAAGCACTAGAGTGAGTCAAGACTGGGTTTGCCCAGGCGTCCCTTTGAAAGTGAATTAAACTAAACCAAATTAAGGTCACTTTAATTCTGAGTAAGAGCATCCACACAGGGGTTTAATGTATCTTAACTAATCCCCTTTAAATACATGTTTTATGTTAATCGGATTAATTTTCCTGAGTATTCCTGTGTAGACAGGCCCTAAATAATATAGATAGCATGTGTGTGTTTATCCAAAACTCTTCTTGGAGCTGCCAAATTGGGGCAGCAGTCTTGTGAGAACAAGCTCTATTATGAGATAGCTGCTGCATTATGCTAATGGTTACAAAAGTGAAATGCAGGAAAAGAAACAGCTGATCAGGTCTCCGTTTTGTGTGAAGGTTTTTGTGGACAGGGTGTCTTATTTCATCCAATGTTGGTGTAGCCATGCTGGTCTCAGGATATTAGAGAGACAAGATAGGGAAGCAAAAAGACATTCTAGTTATCATCACTGAGGGGACATAGGGCCTTAAGAAATAAGAGAACAGCACCCTTTGAGCCTATGTCCCCTCTTTTTGCTTCCCCATCTTGTCTCTCTAATATCCTGGGACCAACATGGCTACAACAATACTGCAAACAACAGTGGAGATATCAAATTTTACCATCTGAAATGAAACTCCACAACATGAAGAAAAAGGAAAAGTTGATCCAATAACAGATATTACCTCATCCATCTTGTCTCTCTCATTTATTCATTCAAACAGACGGTCTATAGTATACTGCTTGAAGTAGCA